TGTTAAATAAGATGTTTCAAAATGTATGGCATAGATGTACACTACTTTAGAAATAGGACACAGAACAATTTTTTAAACAAGAACATTAAGAATTGCTTCAAACAACAAAAAAAACATGGCGGTAATATGTTATTTGATCAATGACGTTTAGCTTATTTAAATTCAAAGGTCTCTAAAGGAGGTAAATGGGAGGTTAATAATAATTATAATAACGCCTAATGCCCGCGGATGTCAGCTTTTCACAGACTATACCTACATTTGATCTATGTCTGCTTCCACAATCGCACAGTTAGCCAGCAGACAATTCACCTAAATCTTTCTCCTATCGTCTTTTTTACGATACCATATTTAAAGTTTACTAAAATAATTTATTGATAAAACTTTTCGATCCACTAAAGTATTACATTTTAAACTTACTAATTATTTGTATTTACCCGAAGATCCGGCCGGATGAGGAAGCTCAAGGTCGCTCAGCGAGCTATGGAGAGGGCTATGCTCGGAGTTTCTCTGCGTGATAAACTCAGAAATGAGGATATCCGCAGTAGAACTAGAGTGACCGACATAGCCCAACGGATTAGTAAGCTGAAGTGGCAATGGGCCGGCCATATAGCTCGAAGAACCGACAACCGATGGGGAAGAAAGGTTCTCGAGTGGCAGCCTCGTACCGGCAGGCGAAGTGTAGGGCGTCCCCCCACTAGATGGAGTGACGACCTGGTAAGATATGCAGGAAGTCGATGGATGCAGGTGGCTCAGGACCGTGCTTTGTGGCATTCTTTGGGGGAGGCCTATGTTCAGCAGTGGACTTGTGAAGGGCTGTAATGATGATGATGATGATGACCCGAAGATCCGTTTTGAAACATCTTATTTAGTATTATTTAAAAAAAAATAGGCATTTTATATTTAGCTTTTATAGTTTCTTTAAAAATTGGATTGTTAAAATAACTAACCACACACTTAAAAAATATTACACCACAATAAACAAAATTCTTAAAAAAACGTGTGTGTGTGTGTGTGTGTACTTATGTACGTACGTAGGAAGTTATACTTCTTTAGCATAACCTTTATAGTTATCAGTACCCACGAAAACTTGAGAGGCAGTTACCCAATGAAGTTGTCACTTTGAGGTGTCAGTGTCCGCGCGCATCGTAACAACTTCATGGTGTCGTTTTTATCTGTTGGTGTGCGCGCGCATCGTGAAAATTCACTCTCATTATTTTTCCCAAACGCCCCAAAAGAAGTATAACTTCAAAAATAATATCTAAAGTATATCTGTATTGAAAAAAGAGGAGAGAGTAGCTTTTTAATAATATGAAAGCGGAAATGAATATAAATCTAGTTGAATTCACGGTACTGGTACGGTTAAGATACTTCTCGCCAACAAACGTAAAATTCGCCATCAAACGTAAAAGTTTGCCGAGTTTAGAATTAAGTAACACCACTGTATCATAAATTCATTAATAATTTTTTTTCTCTATTAAAAAAACGTCACCCCGACACTAGGATTTTCTCCTGTGTCGTGGAGGCAGTTTACAAACAAATTGCACAAGAACAAACATCCAGACCTGGAACCATTATTTGTAGGCCATACAATTATTTAAAAAAAAAAAACAAAATGTTGGCCGAATTCTGTACACGTTTTGCAACCTTTAGTTAATAACCTTTATTAATTTATAACAACCATTAATAAACAATAGCTTAGACTTAAAGCCTAAAATATATTTTTTTTATTAACGAAAGAGCAATTGTCTAAGCAAAATGTGCGTTCTACGCATGGTCAAATACCATATCTAATTTTTTTTTATTTAATTCGCTTTGCCTAATTTCGGTATAGTTAACGTTCATTCCAATAGATTGTTGCAGGTTTTAATTATTTTATAGCAAAGGCCGTTTAAAACGAACCTCACAGATAATTAATTTTCATTATTTAACCGAGCTGACTATGCACATAATTTTCGTTTTGTACTTGAAACATGTTTTACGCATACAGATATTCATAGCGGTGGTGCCTACTTATATGGTATCTACTAAAAATTCATGGCCCTCTAAATAATATTAAAAAAAAGTTTATAATAAACGTTCTTACCAGATTATTTAGGTTAATCACGTTTTCAAAACTTTATAAGTATCTTTGGATTTTTCCATCACATTACTCTTGAATATTATACTTAAAACTAATCTATAAGTAACCAATGACTAGCGGTTTCGCGTTCTAAACGACTGTCCTAAATCTAATACCTATATACTAATTTTACTGTGTGAATCTCACATGACAACGGTCGCCTGTAAACATTTCGATATGCTACGATTAAAGGTATTCATAGATAGTACCTTTGGCTTTATGTGAAAAGTACCTTTTTATTACTTTTTTTAATGGTCACTTAGGCTTTAATTTTTAAAAATTAGGGTAAGAAGCAGGTCGAGATATCAGGTTCATACCAAGATAGAAAAAAAAAATAAGCTGCTAAGTATATTATATGTAAATGTGTATAATTTATTTATAATATAGAGAAATTGTTTTTATTCACTTGTTAGGGTGTTACTACACCGATCGATCGATCGTCGATCGACGCCATTGATCGAAGTCGATTGATCGACGGATACTGGTCGATAAAACATTGTTCAATCATCGATCGACAATTAATCGATGTGGTTGTGGGCTCATCGTCAGTATCTTTCAAAATGCCGTCGGCGGGTTCTCAAATAATGAAGCAGCTCGATCGACGTCAACTAATCCATTTCACCATCGATCGACTGGTGTGGTAACACCCTTACAGACTGTCAATTTCAACACTAAAAGAAATTAACAAAAGTCGTTTCGCTCTTGATTTCATAGCCGGCTGTAGCCTTAAATTGACTTCTGGCTACAACTACTATATTTTAGCTTTGTTTACATCCGAAATAGAACCTTTTCTTTCAGTAATAATAGATGTAAAACAGGTTTTAAACTTTATATATTATATTTAATGCATTTGAAATTTGAATGGTTTCTTCCGAAATAGATTTTTTTTTAAATTTACGTAATTTACGTTATTTTCTTAAACTTACGAAAATAACTTCTATGTGTTACAAACATAACGTTACTGTTATAAACGTTTAATTTCACTAAAAGCTCATTTCAGTAAAGTGCAGTGAAAATAATAATTTAACTTTCTTATCTTCACCCTTGAAGTAGTAGCTAGTAGGTACCTATATTAGAACAATAACTACAGATTCCGCCCATGCAAGTAATTATTCATTGAAGCAAATTACAACGTTGATTGTTTTAATGTAGTTTACAGTGTTTTAATAAAGAATGTGACCAACGTACATACATACTATTTAGCTTTTTCCTTTATAATCCGTGAAATAGCTGCTATATTTTATTCTTCTAGTGTCCCAAAATTCACGCAAAAAGTAATTTTGATAGAAAACACAGGTTATTAATTATTATTACCGTTATCTATAGTAACAGTCTGTCAAAAGTACATTGCTGAACATTGGCCTTCTCCATAGATTGCCTCGTAGAGTAGACATTTGCCAGCTGCCGGTTGGCAATGGCTTGAATCAATTTCGTTTTATATTACAAAGATGCGATTTTTCGTGAGTATACGTTGTAGAGAGCTTTTTGAAATGTACTACTTCTTGATACCGAATTAATGTTTCTGGAATATCAGTAACACTCTCACAAAATGCTTCGATGTTTTGCGTTGTATGACTTGTCGAAACATGGTCTGACTGTGTAAGATCACTATCCGATCCAGTCTCTTTGTTTTTTTTTAATAATATTCGCACAGGTGATAACGTTAGGTCACTATTCCGATCACATTTCGTAAGAAAATTGCTAACTGCAGGTGTCAAACATTCATTATTTTTAAAATATTGCTCTATATTATATATTTCGTGTAACGCTCCTTTTTTAATAATCCCGTACTGTCAGCTGTATTTTTTCGGTGGCAAACTTTTAACTCTCAAATGGCTCACAATTTAAATCCTGCGTGAATTTTGGAACACCGATATAATGGCTTTTAACAATTTAAAATTTTATCGCCATAAAATCACATTGAAAATTTGCCTTTTATCGTCACCATACTTAAAATTTTCTATTTATCCTAAATATGATTTAAATAATACTGTTGGATATAGCGAATAAACAGCACAACATATTACATTTGGAATACGTTATTTTCTATATCCGGAGTAAGAATATGCGGAATTTACCGTAATTCTCACTACCGTCATATACTAAGCCTATCCTACGAGTAATTAACTCAGAATCCGCGCATCTGGCATATACGTCTATATACGTTTAAGCCTTCTGGTAAAGGAGCTACCTCCATTTGAAAACTCTCCGAAATCATCATTAATTAATGAATAGTGTAACGGTCAATCATCAACGACGTCCATCTTGAATGTTGTTGGTTTGTGGCCAATAGGCTTTATAGCAAGGCGAATTCCTGTGCTTGTTGCTTTTGTATTTAAAATTTCTTCATCGCTACTACTGGAAACGTCGAATTTTTTGGACGCGTTGACTTCGTCTGGCTCTGTGTCGGACGACTAGAATAAAACAATGTCATATTAAAAAAATCGCAATAAATAAGTTAGATAGGTAGGTACTTTCTCTATCAGAAACGTGCATAATTTAAATAATTTATAATCATTATAACTAAAATTTAACGATAAATGCATTATATAGCTATACTTTGTATTAGCACTATATGAAGCGTAATTATATACAACACGGTTAAAAAACAGTTTACATATAATTTTACATAATAAATTGTAAAAATATATATTTATGTGTTTTTCGCTAACACAACTAAGCCGTGAGCTAATGGCGTAATCTTTGTTAGAAAGCAGCTAAGGAATGAAGACAAAAAAAATTTTTTCAATAAATTAAAAGTTAGTATTTTGATGTTAATTCATATATTTTTGAAAATTAAGCAATTTTTGAAATTGCAACATTATTTTTTGTCTCCATTAAAACAAATAAAGCTAAAAAATTGATTTAGCGCGACAAACATCTATTTCTTGGGTCGGCTTCGCGCGATGCTTGTTGGAAGGCGTTTGCTCGGCCTCTCGTCGCTGCTGTCCACCCCCTAAAGTAATTCGTTGAAGGTATTTACAAGTGATTTTATATAGTGCTACATTTATAATCCACACTAAAATAAAAATAAAAATATACTTTTTTTTACTGATAGATTCGAAAATAAGGACAATAAAGACGCTAACATTTTTTTTTCTACTTAGTTCAATTCCGACATCTTGTATTAAAAGACTTTTTGTACTAAGATTTCCATTAGTACAAAATTGCTATTGTAAGGGATTAAAAACATTTATCGTCGATTTTTCATTTTAGTTAATAATCATACCAAATGATTTTGTTACGAAAGATAATAGGATTCTTTTAAAAAGAGGGAAAAGTTTCACTAAGGTTTAAGTGTTGCCATTATTAGTAATAAATAAAAAAAAAAAAACTGAAAAACGAAACACGAACACAAAATCATTATTGTACAGGACCCTTACGTCGAAGTCTCCAATAGTGAATTTAGTGCCGGCAGCTTCTGCGACGAGCTGGGCCGGGGCCGGAGGCGCGTTCTCGGGCGATAGCACCTGCGTCGCCACGCACACACATAGCAGGGTTAAACACAATAGCCAGGACCAATGATATGAAATATTCAGACACATTATTTTAAGCTTCTATTGTAAAAAAGGCCTAAACTGAGTTAATTTTGTTTATAATATTTATATTAGATCAGTTACAAATATCAAATCATAGGCAAATTGGCACTGTCCACGGATTTTATACTTCAGTGCTGACTCAGTTCCATTATCGGTGTTGCTAAAACTTGGCGATTATATTCTAGTTTTGTTTTTAACAAGCAAAATCGGATATTTATAATTTCTATCTTCCCCAAATTAAAAGAAATGTACGTTTGGAATTAAAAGGAAGAAAAACGTTGTTTTATATTTCATATCATTGACATTTGATAAAACAATAACTACTGTAGACAAAAAAAAAAATCCTTAAAACAAATCTACGTTTATCTTGTTACTATTTTTGGTAGTCTACGAAATGGCACGAAGTGATGGTATAAAATAATAATTTTGTACTGTGGGTGTCGCTAAAAGTTGAGTAACTCCAGGTAGTTTCGTGGCGGAATAATTAACGTTAAGCAAAGTTTCATAATCCTACGTAACTGTGTGTGTTATGTTGCATGTTTATAATATATAAAAGTGATAAACGAGCTATCATCGTCGTGAACACCTTCAGCCAACTCTTAAACAAAGAAGCTCATCACTCCTGAGGACTAAGACGAAACGCTTAACAACCTGTATGTTATTTTAATAGCTTAGGTACTCTTCGAAACGCAACAACAGTGTAAGATATCTTAGTTCAGTAAGAGGTTAGTACCAACTCACACGGACTCCCAAGTAGATAAGACGCGTCTGAAACTATAACGATAATAATAGCTATCGAAATAGAATTTCTATTTATGCAAACTATCCACCAATCTTTTAGCGATTTTTCTCTTAAGACTGATTTCTTAATTCTAGTAAAGTTTCATTCTCTATTACGATCCATCTTATTGAATACCAGCACGTGACAATCTCTGAGGTGAGAATTGTATTGCGAATAGTATCTAATATATTCCTTCGGTAAGTTTAACTTAGTCGTGCTACGAATGACTTTGCCTTTGAAATGTATGTTATAAATAAATGTATTTTCGGATACTTTTTGAATGGTAGTAGTTAAGGAAATGGTGGTCGATAAAGGAAACGAAAGGTTGAAAATATAGAAACGAGACATCAAGTGCTTATCTTAAGACAGCCACAGTGAATTTAAAAACTAAAATTATCTTAAAACCACTGTCATAAGTAAACAGGATTCCTAGGTCAGTTAGTAGTTATTGAAATATCCAGATTATTATTTACATTAGGATTTTAAGTCATAAGGTTATTAATAGCGTTGGTGAGAAAAGTTAGAGCAGGTGAAATATGTTAGCGTATTTAGAATTATTGGTTTGTATGTGTAAATATGCGAAGGCTACGTCAACAGGTGAATATTACAGATGTTCAGATTGTTATTTTTTTACGATTATTAAACAGATTTAACTTACGGAAAAAGAAAATATATCTACTGTAATAATCATTGTATATTACTATTGTATTATTATTCAAACTAAAAACGTAACCGTCATATCACAAAACGTGCTTTATTGATTATCTTAGACTTAAACAATGGTGTAAGAAGAGTCTTTCTCCCGACAAAAGTCGCTCAGCTGCGACGCCATAGTCTTCGCAGAATTTGACATTTGCTGTTTTGTTTATCCTACCCTCCTCTTAATAATTCGCTTACTCTACTTTTCGCTAATGGTGTAAAAAGTTGTAGCGGAAATGTTGCACTAAGACTTTTGTAATAAGAGAGGTTAATTCAAAACCATTATATCGCCATAAGTTGCTATATCTAGACATCATATTAGACAAGCCGTTTATGGAGGAACCGCCAGATGGGTCAAAACTACCAAAATGGCCGCCGCCGTATCAGCGGATACTTAATATTTTAGTTCGAATATTTACCACGGGACTGCCTTTTTTAAATGGACTAATATAAAACCTGATACTAATTTCTTTTTGTAATAAGACGTTTAAAATCTGATCAAAACCTGTGGTCGTATTAAGTTCTACATTACAGAGCTTTCTAAAGCTAATTTGATATTAGTACACATAATAAATTAATCAATTTATCATATTTTATTATTAGGTTTTTACTTTGGACCTTCATATCGTAAGTATATATGTAAATTATAACTATGTTCACGCACGCACACATGTACGCACTGTGGTTGCTCAGAAAATCGTACCCATCCCATTGAAGTAATGTACTACGAGTACGTACTAGAACAGACACCGCAAACAAAATCTGTGCCAAAGAATACCATTTTATGGCACAGGCTAAGTAAGATTGAGCCCGTGGGCTCTGCAGCGTTATACAAACAATCAAGTCTCGACGTTTCTTCTGATACGTAGTACATATTACTTCAATTAATCATCCCGAAATATTCACCTACTACCATAACTACTGAAAACCCAACAAACTAAAATACTCACATCCTGATCGCTCATCATCTCCTTGGTTGAAACGGTGGTCTCAATCCTGCGTATGGAGCCTTGGTGTATGTCCACGTCGAACGCAAGGCACTGGAAGCGGCGCAGCACCAGCACCAGTGGTATCGGCAGCACGCCCGCGAGGATCATGGCGCCGGCAATACCCAGTACCCAGTTTGGATACGGGGTTCTCTCTACGCGACCCTGAATTATAATTAGTCTATAAAAACTGCTGAACATAGACCTGCTCCAAAGATTGCCTCATAGGGGGCACGTTTGGTAGATGGGCTATCAATGGAATTTTAACATTATTTCGTATTCTATGCGAGCGTGGTCCTTCCCCGGTCGAGATGGACTTATAATATAAAGCCTGATCGACGGGCGAGCTTTAATGCGGTCTTGATGGTTCACCGGTAAGCTCGTTGGTCTTCTTCGCATAAACGCGGTTGTGTAAGCCGACGAGGCTTCCACAATTTCTAAATAATAACTGTTTGGCCCAACAGAGTATCAGGGTCAGATAAGACGCGCTGCGACTAAAACCGTTTTAGTATTTACGGCCATTTTCAATTTCACCATCGCACATCGCGACAAAACTTGCGATACCATCCTTACCATTTGGATGATTGGCGGTCCACCACTATGCGATTTAAAAGAAGTTTTCTTCCTCGCACAACTTCCTTGTGCAATCGACTACCACAAAGTGTGGAAGGCAAGAGACCAAACAGCACTACTGTCAGTTGTTCTAGCATAAGCTTTGCACCGTTATGTTTGGTGCAGTTGAAACTGGCTTTCCGTAAAGCTTTTTGTAGGCTTAACGTCACTCTTTTTAAAGCTGAAGAGCATTAGCAATGCGTTTTTAGTGGTAAGGCAACAGAAACTTGCCAAATTCCGGTTTCATACTATTGATACGATTTAAAATTTCTTCAAAGTAACCGGTCAAAAGAAAATCCAAAAGACAAATGAAATACAAAGACTATACAACTAATCTAAAGCTCTTTCTGATCGACCCGATTCACTGGCGCAACGAAGAGTTGTGTTCCGTTCCTTTGCATTTCCTATCGTATTTACCACGGGAACGGTTTTGAGAAATTGTTCGGATTGATTCCAGCCACACCATCTGGATGCTTGGCGGTACACCACTGTGCGTTTTACTAGGAGTTTTCTTATTCGTACGACCTCCTCGTTTACCACCGGACCAATACGAATTAGGGACCTTCAAGAAAGGAGCCTACTCGTTTTTAAAAGGCCGGCAACGCATCTGCAATTTCCCTGGTGTTTCAGTTGTTCATGGGCGGCGGTAGTCACTTACCGTTAGGTGAGCCGTATGATCGTTTGCCCCCAATGCTATAAAAAAAAAAACTTATAACTTGCCCGTCTGTAAAATGTCGGCGTACATACATCCCACAGTTGGTAACAGGTTTCCGGAGGTGCTGAGGCAATAAAGTCAAAAATAACTAAAAAAAAAAACTCCGTGACAGGATATTGTTGATATCCGTAGTAGAACCAGAGTTAAAGACAACTGATAAGGAAAGAAGGTTATCGAGTGGCAGCTTCATACTGGTAAGAGAAGTGTAGTGTAGTCACTATAGATAGAGTGAGAACCTGACAAGAGGTGCAGGAAGTTGATGGATGCAGGTAGTTCAGAATACTCTATTGTGGCATTCGCATTTGGGGGAGATCTGTTTTCAGTTTTTATGATGATGGAGATAATGATGATGATGACCTATTTTAAGATTGTACTATAATACATTTATTCTATGTGGTATACATACCTCTGCAGCATTCCAAGCACCATAAGTCGGTGGGTTGATCAGCATAAAGACGAGAGAAGAGAGCAGAATGCAGGTGACGATAAACGGCCCAACGTAACGCCAAGTAATTTGCCAATACCATCCAGGACGGTAGCCTGTCATCTCGTAGATGTCGTTTGAGAATCTGTAATTATATCAAAATGTTCAACATATTATTTTTCGAAGATAATTTAAAGGAACGTGCATGGTATGACAGGAATAAGGGTCAGTTCAGACCGAGACGTGACGCGACGCGATGCAGTGCGTAATTTTTAAGATAGTGATACTAAAATGTCGTTTTTTTTTCGTCGTTCAACCGTCAGTAATATAAAATTTTGGACCTTATCTTTACATCGTGCAAATGATATCGATATATCGATATTTATCACGCGATATATATCGATACCGTTTAAAAATATCGATTCGATATATTTTTTCCCTTGCCTATTCCTACGCGGCACTGCTTCATCGGCAGGCACAGTGTGCAAGAGCGGTACGCTGCCAGCAACTACACGACGCGCCTCGCGGCGCCGCGCTCCGTCGCCGCGCCGCGTCTCTGTGTGAACTGACTCTAATGCCTTATATCATTAGATTATATTTATATTAAGGTGAAAGCGCCAGGGTAACCCGCGAAATTCAATTTTTTTTTACGTTTTTTGCAATTTATAGGTCAGTGTCAGGTTGTATGATTAACAAAATATGGTTTGCGACCGTGGCGAGTATGTATTTACAGAATAATAATCATTATAATCATCAATACAACCCTCTAAGTTCGTATAATCCAATTGAATGGCTATTTACAGAAAAACTCATTCAAAGGGATTATATGATCTTAGAAGGTTGTATTGGTGATTTTAATGGTAATAATACTATAAACACATACTCGTTACGGTCGCGAATCACATTTTGTTAAATAATTTCAGAAAATTTGAATTTCGCGGGCCACCCTGGAGCTTTAACCTCAAGAAACTCGTAATTACGATGCGATTAGGACTGGTCAATGCTTTTACCTTTATACCCCAAGTAAGGTTTCTATTTTCACCTATGGCACCTATTACATTATCTTTACACGTTCCGACTTGACTGAGAGAGAAATCCAAGTCATTGGTCCACCATTTGTATTCATTTTTAATAAGGTTAATAAAAAAAATATTTGTAAATAAATAAAGAACAGGTATAGCCTATGTTTCGGAAATAAGCTTTGGTTTAATAAAGTTTTAAAAGGACAATTGATAGTTAAAGCTATTAAAAGGCAACTCCCTCCCCCCCCTCCATGAGGCAATCTATGGGAGAGGTATATGTTCTGCAGTAGTCTTATACAGGGTATTTTTGGAACGCTCCCGAAAACTAAGACAGGCGACAACACCAAGTACACCTTTGATCATGGGTCACAAATAAATTCGATCCTGATGAAAAAAAAATCAACTTTTTACACCGTTTTATTAGCTTTATTCACGCGCCATCATGTTAGTACAGCTAAATGAAACGATAATTTCATAAAATATATCATGAAAATACTGAAACATAAAACCAGCAGTGGAATGACTGAATTTATATCACCTGACTGAAAGGTCAATGTACGCGCGAACGCAAATTCGCGCGGCCCGCAACTAGCGGGCCAAACCACAATATCTAATAATTTACAACACTTGTCTAAATACCTTACTTATCTACTTAACCTACTATTTTGCCACTGTGCTTGTCTCCACTTAGCCACTTTAATCCGAATTTACAGGTTAAATAACCCAAATAACTGGTTCGATTCCCCGCTAATGAAAAAATACTTAAATGAAATGTAACCAAAGTTGGAGTCATGAGTTTTTATTCATCGTGTATGTTTATTATTCTCATGTATTCAGTTATGTACCTATTCAGATTAGTCTAGTACTAAGTTATTTAAAAAAAAATAGGTATGAAACAGCTTACCGCTCTAAATCCTCCGTGGTCTTATGAGATGCGGCTCAAATTGTGCTCCATTCATTTCAAGGTAGATTTGGGTGCAGGCGGGGCATCATCGTGTGGTCTTCGACACAGTCCGTACGTAGTTTCTCGAAACCATCCACGATCCTTTGGCGCATTTCTTCAGCACTATCACATTCACGATTAAAAACCCTTTCTTTTACATACCCCACAAAAAGAAGTCTAACGGAGTCAGATCTGGTGAGCGAGGTGGCCAAGCGTGTGGTCCTAGTCTGCCGATCCAGCGATCATCAAATAACTCATTGAGGCGCTCACGGACGAACCTCACGAAATGTGGAGGGGCACCATCATGTTGGAACCATGTGCGGCGATATTCAGCCAACGATAGGTCGTTTAAAATGTCAACCAACTGTTCATTTATAAAGTTTAGGTATCGCTGTCCGTTCAGTCGCTCTGTCAGAAACACTGGTCCCAGTATGCGATCCTTAAATAAACCTGCCCATACGTTAACCGACCATCGGGTTTGGTGCCCGGTTTGTCGAACAGCGTGCGGGTTAACCTCTGAATACACGTGTGTATTTCTTCGGTTCCACAGGCCGTTTCTGGTAAATGTCGACTCATCCGTCCAGATAATGTGCTCAATGGAACCAGGCACACGTTGTTGCTGGTATAATAACCAACGGCAGAAAACTCGTCGGCGGTCGTGATCGCCGGGAACTAAAGCTTGCACTTTGTGCAATTTGTATGGGCGCATTGGTTACGCTTCAACACTTTGTGCACTGTACAGTATGACACACTTGTACGATCCCGACGTCTTAACAATTTATTTAGCGATACTTCGTGTACCTAGGTTCGGATACCTAACATGTTGACCACTATAAACGTACGCGTTAGGCATTATTAAAACAAAAAAGAATCCAAAAACGTAACAAAAACTTTAATATCAACACGTAATCACAAGTAAATTTATTAAACAAAACGATTGAACTGTCGCTCGCGCACGCGTGTACAAAATCAACACGGAACTGTTTCAAAAACTACAATTAATAACGAACCCCGACGAATAAACGGAAACCTACTGCGTCACAGCGTGACGACACGAGCCGGCCGGGTTACATTCTGCGAGGCGACATGAGCCGGCCGGGTTACATTCTGCCGTCATACGAAATAAAGAAGTACGCAACTAACAAAAACGTAAAATGGAAATAAAAAATAAATTTATGAATTTTTCTTTCAGACCCCGTGTCTAAAGTATATTAAAAGGTATCTATATGAAAATTGAAATATGTACGTAGAGACATGAAGATTTTAAGGACGAACTTATTTTTTGATAATTTGTTTATTTATTTAAATAAAACGAATTTTCCTTTTCATCTTAGATTAAAAAATACACCTGGCAACACAAAAACATCGAAGGAAAGACGCATATAACTATTTGCGTCTTCCCAACCTAATAAATAAAAAAAACTGCCATTCATTTAACATTTTTACATATTTTGGAAAGGTCATTTGAAGTTGAAAGGACGCTAATAGTAATTTACTACTTTTTTCTTAGTAAATATTAGAAAAGCATTGGTAGTCAGACACAAAAAATAACAACCCGCAACTCTTGAGTAATGATTTTAAAGGGGATATCATACAAGACTTACTACGATAATAATTAAAAATTTTGTACAACCGACTTTAATATAAATAATTAAGGATGACTCAAAAACTATTGGTCTGACCTCGATCAAATTTATATGGGACCACATGTGAAACACCAGCTCTTAGTAATAAGATATAAGCTCTTAATAATAAGATATAGAATAAAAAGACAAGAATAATTGAAATTTAAGTAATCGATGCAAATATTGTTAAAGATGACGTAGCCACTGGTTAAATAAGTCTTTTCTTTTATGTTGAAGTCTTTTCTAATAAAAAGATGTCATCTGTGATCAACAGTTACGTCTAAAATCCTTACGATAATTTCTAAAATATTGATATTTGTGAATATTAAAAAAATTTAGTAGATGCGCCTTCTTATCATGAGTCATGGTATATTTAACTCATTTATTCAAAAATTGTTAGATGCGCCCTTTTTTCTTCCGACCGCATACCATTGTTTCGTACCGAGCTAGATACAGGTCGACAGCGGAGGAAGTGTGGGTACAGTCGCGTTCTAAAGTACTACATGGTATTGGGCTATTGTTTTATAATATTATAGTAATTAATTGTTTAATTGTGGAATCATAATAGGTGTTTTACTATTTACTTAGAACTTTGGAAGAGGTGGGAATTAAAAATGGATAATGTTTACTTGAGCATTATTTGTTATTTCTATCGTAAAATATAAAGTAGTTTGTAACAAAAAAAACTTAAGGGTGACACGCCGTCCATTATGACGTCTTGGGTCACATGAAAGTCAGATGTTGATGGTGTGTTGGTATTACTGGATGCTACTTCATCATCACTTTCATCTTCGCTTGAGCTTCCGTCATCAGGTCGATCACATGGTAATTTTTTCGGTATTCTCCCTCAACACTTTACTGCACAATTTTCCCCATTCACCTTCTCATATCATATTTACCTTTTCGTTCACTAGTTTAGTCATAAAACAATAGATATAAATAATTTTTGTTTCCTTCCTTTTTAAAACATCGTCGCGAGTCGCAAAGTAAGCTGTGTATGCGACTGTATTTTTGGAGCGAACAAAGCGCGTGAACCAATAGCATGCAGGCACAGTAATACTGGCGGATTGATCCCCCGTCGCACCCCCCTCGTACCTATATGTGATAAATCGCTCAATGCCCAAGTTCAAGGCCAGCGTTCTTTTTTCACCGTTCGCGCGTACATTAACCTCCATTAGTCAGGTGATATCAATTCAGTTTCCACTGCTGGTTTTATGTTTCAGTATTTTCATGATTTTTTTTATGAAATTATCGATTCATTTAGCTGTACTAACATGATGGCGCGTGAATAAAGCTAATAAAACGTTGTAAAAATATGATTTTTTTTTCATCAGGATCAAATTTATTTGTGACCCATGATCAAAGGTATACTTGGTGCTGTCGCCTGTCTTAGTTTTCGGGAGCGTTCCAAAAATACCCTGTATAGGCTGTAATGAATGGAAATTATTAATAAACCACCTTTTGTAATGAGTACCTAATGTATTTTATTTTTAATCGTCTCAAGTATCGAGTGAATAGAATGCATGTAAAAAAGAAAAACATGCAACTGTTTGAGATTAATACACCTCGACACTGTTTGACCGATCACTATGAAAGTTGGCACCCATATGTAATTTTAATGCAGAGAGGTTCTCCCGTTTATTGTAATTCACATTCCCAATCTATACCGTTCAAGCACCTGCCATGAAAATTGGTATACCTACACAGGCGACGTCTGCCGGGTTTTGCTTATATTAATTGTAATAGGTGGATAGTGGTGAATTTTTATGTATCTTTATATGTTTTTATTTTTTTATGTAGGTGGTTAGCGACCGTGCTTTGTGGCAATCTAATGTTCAGCAGTGGTTCGTTACATAAAACAAAACGTTGAATATTAGAATGGAGCATAAGTGAAAGCACTTTGTAAAAATATTAATAACTAAATCTAGACTAACTTCTCGTGCCCATAGATGTAAACAACAGCGACCATCTCAAGCAGCGCGACAACGACGAGACCAATGGTACCGGCGAAGGAGTCGAACATCTTGAGCCAGTACTCTCCAGCTCCGGTCGTGAATATCAGCCCCACTAGGAAACAGAAAGTGCACACTGCACCTGGAAACAAGAATTATATAAAGAATTAAATTTTACAGTAGTTATTCGGTTATTGAGGGTATTAGATTTCATTTTTTTTCATAGAATAAGGGTGATAAACGAGCACACAGCACCTGATGAGTCTATGCGCCTAAGCACACAGGCCCATAGACATCTATATTAATATTTATTTAACTATTCAAGATTCATTATTACATCACATTCTTCTCAGAAAGATTCCATCCTCGATTAAGAATCAAAATGATGATGCATTGTCACCGTAATTCAGTTCAAGGTTCTCCGATTCTCTACACTCACCATACGAAACACAGCAGCATTAAGTTGCTATTGTACGGTGTTGTTCTGTAAGAGTGTGGTCTCTCCACGGTCAAGCCGACCTATTCGTGCTACAACCATAATATAGCTGCAGCGTGGTTCGACTATTTAAAACCAGAGAGCCAGAAATCATAACGTTCCATATAATCTCTAATTTTAGTAGCTGGTGACATAGGTCTTTTTAAGTTAGGATTTGCCAAAATAATTAAGATAAGTATTAATAGAATGCCAAATAAGACCAGAAAGTGGGAGTTGAAATGGATGTTTATGCAAAAAACAAATGAAACAATATTTTTCTAGAGCTTGCAAATTTTGTACACTTCATCCAATAGCTTTAACCGATATACTCAAGCTAACAGTCCATACCGTGCTGTGAACCTACCCCGGAACTGTAATCCTTGTACACCTATAACCAGCATAAAAAGGTTATAAATGTTACCTCTGAGGGCTAAGAGGGAATGCCTTACGGTCTATAATCATACTAACTCCCCATACCTTTCTTACCGGAACAAAACTGCTAATTGGCGGTCTATTAATATAAGGCGTTGGCGGATATCCGTTATACAGGGTTATTTTGCAATAACCGGCTAAATTTGCAGAGAAGGTTCAAAATAAGTAATATAGGCAAATGGCGAAAAAAACAAATCATTCTGTCCTTTTTATCTTTTAATTTTTTTTTATAGGATTAGGGTGACAAATGAGCACACAGTCCACCTGATAGTAAGTGGTTGCTATGGCCCATAGACATCTACATCTATCCTCTATTACAAATCAAAATGCAGATGCGTTGTCACCCGTGAGAATGCCTTATTTCCAGTAAAAAGGGTCTCCGGTTCTACCATACGAAACACAGCAGCGTTAAGCGGCTATTTTACGCTGATATCCTGTGAGAGCGTGGTCCTTCCCCGGTCGAGCCGACCCATTCTTGCTACAACTATACTACTAATGTAGCTGCAGCATGGCTCTACACGTAAAAATCCGTGGTAATGCATTATTTTCACTGATTTTACAGAGCACACAAACATTCGTAAGGTACGATCGGTAGGCAAAAACTTTGTTGCCCATAAATCAAATACAATTTGGGATAATTTCAAATAAATATAAAAAATATCATTATTCATATGTTTGAAATTAAGTATAATATTTGGCCACTCTTTGAAAAATAATCCTGTATAAAAGACATTTACATATGTACAGACACTTTAATTTATAGTAGTGGTGTTAAGATAAGTGGTGTCGATGAAAGTGCACGCAATTAAGGCATCTACGACTTTTTTGTCACTAGGCGGCGCCACTTGGCAATGAGGTGAACTATTTAATATATTATTTGAAGTTAATTTGTTACAAAAGTTTAGCGATTGATGTTTTTTTTTTACTGGAATATTAGTGATATTTTGCATTAATTACATATGAAATGCATTAACCAAATTATGGATATTGCTAAAAGTAGACTTTTCAATGATAACACTTTGTGCCCAACTGCCTAACAATGAAATTCACCTTAGTCCAAGCTAGCGACATCTTGTGAGCGTAAGATTATTATCCCTCATTAAGGGAGGGCGGGAGATCCTCTACCAACAAGGTTTTTATTTTAATCGCAGATCACAGCTAATTAATGCTAACATCTTTACAAGTAATATATAGTAATTTTTAAACTTACCGGTTATAACGGGCTTGCTCATCCTCTTAAAGAAATCTATATCGAAGATGGTGCACAGCATGCCCTCCATGATTCCAATCTGACTTCCCAAACCGAGTGATAAGAGCATCAGGAAGAATATGATTGACCAAAATGGCGCTGGTGTTAATTTGAGTATAGCTTGGGTGAACACTATGAAGGCGAGGCCAGTGCCTTCTGCCGCCTGAAAAAAAAAACAATTTTGACAGTGAACAAAAAAACAAGTTTGTAGAGTTCCTAATATATCAACCAAATAACATGTATTTTAGACATCAATTATGAAATCTTGAAAAGTATCTTCTTTTCGAAACAGCCTTATGAATGTGAATTCACTGCTGCATATTTCTAGCCGTAGCTACAAGCGCCGTTGGAGGAGGTCAGAGACTATAGTTTCAACCATGCCATTCTTTCGTCTCAAGATTTGAGACGTAAGGTGCAAAACCATACCTTTAAAAATGCTTAGTTCAAGTCAATTTCCATATTTGCGATTAGTAGTCTAGAAGATTGTTAATTATATTTAAATAATAAGACTACAATTATTGTACGATGTACGTAGATTTATTTATTAGAAAATTTTCAATTAGAAATTATATTAATCGTAAACGTTGCGTCACTAATTTAGATGTCTTTGTATGAACATTAGCCAGCAATAGTCAGAATCGAGTCCAATTAAAAAAGAATTGAATTCCTAACTCACTTCTTCCAACTGCCTGCTCATAGCGCAGCCGGTGAGGTTCAAGGATGAGGTGACGGTAGAATTCAAATTAGGATACTCCTCTTGGTAGTAGTCGAACGTAGAGTTCAATGTAAAACCGCCGATTTGGTGCATAGCTAGCACTTTTACCTCCCTGGAAAGAAAATAATAATTTTAGAGTAACTTACATAATAATGAAGATTTTTTCAATAAGCCATACCAGCTTCTAATCACTTCGTTTTCAGTTATATCTAAAAAATTATAAAATGTCTAAATAAATAATAAAAATAACAAAAAAAAAAGAAGTAATAACCAACTTCAAAAAACTAATAATGTTATAAATAAAATAAACTTCTGTAGACAGTGCTAAGTTAAAGTTACAGCCTATAAACGTCCCACTGCTGGGCACAGACCTCCTCTCATCTCTGAGGGTTTTAGGGCAAGGAAGTGTCCGCCGCGCTGCCCCAATGCGTCTTGGCGAACTTCACATGTCTTCGAAATACTTTTTTTTCTTATATCTCAGACATGCAGGTTTCCTCACGATGTTTTCCTTCACCGCCGAGCACGTGGTAAATCAGCACTTAAAATTGCAATTAACAATTCCATTGGTGCCGGCGGGGCTAAGTTAAAGCGCCGTAAAAATAATCATTTAAATCAAAGAACAGAATAGAATAGAACAGAATGATATATGTCAAAATTTTTCACTGTCAAAAGCTACGTATATTTAACAGTGGTAGAGCCACGCGGCAGCTTTTGCTGTCGCACGGATGGGCCGGCTCGAACCGGGGTGGTACCACGACCTCACAGAAAACCAGCGTGAAGTAGAGGTTTACCTCTGCGTTTCGCTTGGTGCGTGCAGGTGGCCGGAGGCCCTTTTTACTGGAAATGAGGCATTCCATCTTAGTCCTTACGGGTGACAACGCATCTACATTTTGATTTGTAATAGAGGATAAATGTAGATGTCTATGGGCCGCAGCAACCACTTACCATCAGGTGGCCTGTGTGCTCGTTTGTCACCCTTATCCTATAAAAAAAAACTTATTTTATTTTGTTATTTAGAGGCCAAATCTGGCTTATAATTTTCAATAAATAGATCAGTAAATATATAAGAGAGTTGTTATAATAATTATTTTTTGATTTCAGACATAATACTCATTTATAAAGGAAAATATTTCTGCTGCGTCGTTGTCAACTGTCAAAGCATAACGACTGCAAACAATTTTTTATCAATATGGAATAAATCCAGGGAAGTAATGTGATAATTTTTTATTTATAGAGTAAAGTGCTTTTATTTAGGCCGTAAATGATTGTTTCAGGGAAAGATTCGGGGTACAGCAGCAATTAAATATGAAGGTATGTAATATAAAGACTTTTGAGTGCTGTAGAGATTTGTTTAGATTTTTTAATGAATATCTCTGCTCCACTATATTCACAACCGGATTTCCTTCAGTGTCAAAATTGTGCCGACGGTAGGCTGTTTAAAGGTAAAAGGGGTTTAAATATACATATTAAACGATGCCATAGTAAAAGTATTTCGGTTTCACCGCCTACCGTAGAAATACATAACTCTGTTAGCAATTCAACTAATGACACAAATTTTCCCTTTTTTCGGAGCAAATTTATCATCGTAATGTACCAGTGGTTAAAAGAATTCCTAGAGGTGCGAGGATGCAGCTTGCTAAAGCATTGTCATGCACTATTCAAAATTGTTTCACTAATAGTGAAAATAGTTGGCAAGAATTATTTACTTTCGCATATTCCCATTTTCATTTTGATAAAACAATACTTTTTATTAAGAATGAGACGTAATTGAATAAATAAATCAATTACGTCTCAACTAAAAGAGACATCTTTTCAAAATTTAGATTACCCAATTAATACTCATTTATCTCGACCACGGCCTAAATTTGATTTAAAAAAAGTAGTTGAGTCGAAAGTAATGGATGGCGACTTAAAAAATGCATCCCGTATTTTATTCTCAGACGACATCCTGGCTCCTCGTAATGTCGAAACTAATGAAAGCCTTCGTCAGAAGCGTCCTTCGGTCAAACCTTCTCAGGGTTTACCGCTGCCTCCCAAGACTTCTATGCAACCTTTACAAATTTCTGAAAAAGAAACTTTAGAAGCAATTATGTCATTTTCGATTGGCTCTGCTGGCGGCATTGACGGAATTACGCCTCAACATCTTAAAGATCTTGTAAGCGTTTGTGCCGGTGACGCCGCCGGAGTACTTCTTAAAGACATTACAAAATTATGTAACTTTATGCTTTCTGGTAATGTTAATCCAAATTTCATTCCATTCTTATATGGGGCAAGATTATGTGCCTTCAAAAAAAAGGATAACGGTATTCGTCCAATTGCCGTTGGTTCTACATTTTTTTATAGGATAACGGTGACAAACGAGCACACAGTCTACCTGATGGTAAGTGGTTGCTGCGGCCCATAGACATCTACATCTATCCTCGTTTGCGAATCAAAATGCAGATGCGTTGTCACCCGTGAGGACTAAGATGTAATGCCTCATTTCCAGTAAAAAGGGCCTCCGGCCACCTGCACTCACCAAACGAAACGCAGAGGTAAACCTCTACTTCACGCTGGTATTCTGTAAGGTCGTGGTACCACCCCGGTTGGAGCCGGCCCATCCGTGCGACAGCAAAAGCTGCCGCGTGGCTCTACCACTGTTATGGTACATTTCGACGCTTAACTTCAAAATTAGCTTGCAGGCACATAATCTCTAACCTTAAGACCAAATTTCAGCCTACTCAACTAGGTGTTGCCACTAGAGGTGGCTGTGAGGCGGCGGTACATTCAGTCCGTACATTTTTAACAAACTCTGATGCAGATGTTCTTGTGAAGGTTGACCTAAGGAATGCTTTTAACTCTATCGATAGGGTAACCTTGCTGAAGAAGTGGCTAACAATACCCCCGAAATTTATCATTATGTTTGGCAATGTTATAGTCAAAATACTAACTTGTTTTACGAAAACCATGTTATCGATTCTGCTGTCGGTGTTCAGCAGGGTGACCCACTAGGTCCAGCATTTTTCAGTTTGGGAATTCAACCCATTATTTCAAATTTGAAATCCAAGCTGAATGTCTGGTACGTTTAGAGCCGGGGCGGCATCAGAGGCAGCTGAACTGAGTAAGTGGCGCAAATATGAGTCTCTGAGAGATGACTACATATATGTACCATTTGCTGTAGAGACTATCGGTCTGTGGGGTCCACGAGCGGTGAAGTTCTTAAAGGAACTCCATCCGCGGCTGGTCGTTGCTGCTGGTGATATGAGGGCTGGTTCTTTTCTCGCTCAAAGGCTAAGTATAGCCATTCAGCGTGGAAACGCAGCCAGCGTTCTTGGCAAAATACGGCGGGGAGAAGGACTATATGATAATTAAGTTTCTAGTTTTAGTTTTTTATTATTATTATAGTTTTTAATATTGTATATAATTAAATAATAGAAATTAGTTTCTAATTTATTGTGAAAAAAATATTTAAATAATAGAATAGAATCATATACATACATAAACACTCACGCCTGTCACCCAGAGGGGTAGGCAGAGACTACGGACATCCATTTGGCGCGATCCTGACACACATCTCTCGCCTCTTTTACATCCATATATCTACGCATACACGCTCGTCGGTTAAGGGTACTCCTAATCTGGCCCATTTTTAATGTATCGCCGATTTGGTCGATAAACCTTCGTCTAGGGCGTCCCTTCCCGACTTTGCCGTTCACTTCTGTCACATAAATTTGCTTTGTCACTCTTTCCTCGTTCATTCTTTCTACATGACCAAACCACCGAAGCATTCCTTTCTTAATCCTTGTCACAACGTCATCTTGCAAACCACACTTTTCTCTTATCACACTATTTCTCACCCTGTCATTCAGATTCAGCCCTAGCATACTTCTTAAGGAACGCATTTCTACAGCATTTATTCTACTCTCATGCTTCTTCTGCCAGACCCAACTTTCACTACCATACATTAAAGTGGGGACTAACACAGCATTATGAATTGCCATACGTGCCTTAGTTGACACATTCTGACTCCTCATAATAGCGTGTAGAGCCCCATTCACTCTATTTCCTGCGTTCACTCGTCGTTCTATATCCTTATCATATCTACCATCCCTGCTAAATATAAAATCTATTCTTTAGCAGAATAGAATCATTTTTATTCAATATAGATTACAATACATAATACTTATTGAAAGTCATTTTTTATTTTTACCACTGGTTCGCAAGAAAAACCTCTGTCTTGGGAAGAATCAGCAAGAAACCCAACGGGACTTTTTTAACAAAGCACAATTCACAATATAATATCATAAACATATCGCGTAACATGTACGTATTAGAGCTATGCTGTAGCTATTTAATTGTAGCTCGAATGGGTTGGCTTGACCGGTAACTACCACACTCGCACAGAATCATCATCATCATTACAGCCTTTTATAAGTCCACTGCTGAACATAGGCCTCTCTCAAGGAATGCCACAAAGCACGGTCCTGAGCCACCTGCATCCATCGACTTCCTGCATGTCCTACCTGTGCGTCGTACGGTAAGACGCACAGAATACCAGCGTAAAATAGCAGCTTAGTGCTGCTATGTTTCGTATGATGAGTGTAAAGAACCGGAGACCTTTTAACTTGAAACGAGGCATTTCACCTTAGTCCTCAGGCGTGACACGCTTCTGTATTTAGGATTTTAATCAACGATATATATGTAGATGGCCATGGGCCACAGTATTCACTTACTATCAGGTGGACTGTGAGCTTGTTTGTTACCTTTATTCTATAAAAAAATTGAGAACCTTCTCTTTTTTTCGTTATCATTCATCATCACCATTACAGTCCACTGCTGAATATAGGCCTCCCCCAAGTAATGCCACAAAGTACGGCCCTAAGCCACCTGCATCCAACGACTTCCTGCATGTCTTACCAGGTCGTCATTCCATCTAGTGTTAGGCCGCCCCATACTTCGCCTACCAGTACGAGGTTGCCACTCGAAAACCTTTCTTCCCTATCTGTTGTCGTTTCTTTCGTCCCTTGCCACTTCAGCTTACTACTCCGTTGGGCTATGTCGGTTACTCTGGTTCTACTATGGATATCCTCATTTTAATGTTTATCATGTAGATAAACCCCGAGTATAGCCCTT